AAAAGTAGCGAATTACTTTTGAAGTTACTTTTATATTTTTTAACGCTAACAAGTAAGTACACAGGTTTTGATCCGTTAGCAAAATTCTGCTAGCCGTTTATAAAGCGGCTTGTGTTTTCACAGAAATGCTTTAATAGCTGGTTCTGCTTCTGCATGCCTAATTGTTTTGTATTTCTTTTTCTTTTTGGTGAATGATGTACTGCGGATGTATCGTTTCTCCTCTCAGGTTAAGAACTGCCTGAACTTGATTTTGCAGACAGTGTTTGCTTGTTTACAGTGCTGCTGAAAGTATTCTGAAAACTAATTGGAAGTTCAAAGTGAATGAGAGGTTACCGATTTCAAGTAAAGTATTAAGCACACGGGGCGCAATCTAATTGAAGTAAAGTAGTATAAAAACAATGTACCTTCAAAGTAAAGTAGAAGTACTTTTTAACACAATCTTTCAGGATGTCCTCTCATCCCCTTTACAGCGTTTTTTTTTTTCTTAACTGCTATGCATTGCTCCGAAAAAAGAAATCGGAGGTGCATCACTTTTTTTTTTGGAAAGGGCGGCGAAATCGGACGTGTCTCAGTTTTTTTCTGAAATGGCGGGAAATAATATTTCGCCACACAGTAATTGTTTTATTCTCTCTGTCGAACTATTTAACACAATGAACTTATAAGGCCCTTATTTGTAACGGTGATATGGCCGCCACTACTTCACTAAGAGAAATGACCAGATGACGTATCGAAAGACAGCACAAACTACACAGGAGTACCAGATGAGCTTCAAAGCGGGTGCTGCGTTTTGTTGCCTCCTTTGAGTGAGAATGCAGTGTGTACACCTGTAGTGGGCAAGAGTTCTACGCTGGGGAGAAGCGGGGACAAGCTCTTTCTTTAAATGGCTCAAATCTCCTATAGCTTCGGGACACAAAGAAACGCCAGTCTTCGGCACTAATCCCGCAGTTACTCGGCCTCTCTTGCGTAGCGTCTGTTCGCTCCCCGCGCCTCTTATGAAGAATTCCACTCGTAGATCTGGAGCGCTTTCCAAAATCTGTGAGGGAGGCAAAATTCCGCTCCGTGGTACCCGCTCCGAATCGACGAGGGGAAGATAAACTTGCATTTTTGGAGCGACCTCCCCCTAACCCCTCCCCACCCCAAAATGGCCGCTGCTCGAACTCGACCAGCCCACCAACGCCTCAGCCGGCTGATCTTTCCGACGACCAGTGACGAATGTCACTGCTTAGCTGCAGAAGTAACACGCAACACAGGCCGGGCGGAATTATACGTACCACGGCGCCCACGTCACAAATAACGAAGACGTCCGCGTTCGGCACCGTCACATACCCTTCGGCCGCCTCGAAGCGGGGGGGCACGGATAGCGATTGCCAGCGGTGGAGTTCAGATTTGTAGTACGACTTTAATAAACACAGAGGTAACAAACCTTCACTTGCGCGGTCGTTGCCTAACCACTTCTTGCTTTATTTCACGGGAAAACGCCGACGGAATGCAGTGTAAAAAGGTAAACAATCACTGCCTGCAGAATGAATAGGCCTAACCTTGCGTCTGCCTCCGGCTTCTCTGTCGTTCTTTTTCTCGTTCTTCCTCGACGATCACAGATGTCAGCGCTTACGATTTGCCACGCTCCACATTCCCGGCTTTTTATCCCTGATCTACGCGAGGTAGAAGCGTTATAGCCGTCACAGTCGAGAGTAAACAACCGACCGAACCGACGCACCCGAACAGATCCAACTCCACGACCCGACCGTGGCCCGACCGGCCCGCCGATCTCTCCAACCTCGCCGCGCATGCGCACCGCCGATTTAGACGGAAATCACGTGGCCACTCTGTCAACTTCCGGAGAGATCTGTGAAATCCCGCAGAGCAAGTTCGGCGGAGTTTGGGGCGCTCCGTGGAGCGGGCGCTGCCAGAGATCTACGAGCGGAAGATGACCAACTCGAGCCAGATCTGCGAGCGGAACATGCGCGCTCCAAATGGAGCGCTTTTGGAGCGCTCGAGATCTGCGAGCGGAATTCACCATTAGCAATGTTGTTGCAGTGGGGGACTAGTGAAAACTTTAGGGAGTTTCGGACCGCTCAAATACCTACCCTCCCTTCCCCCCCTTGCCTACACCTCATGTTCCACCCTCTTTGCAGAAATCAGCTGATCTTCCAACGTATCTCCTTTTGTGCAGGAACGTTTGCTTATAAGCAAACCTACGACTAAAATTCGAACGTAATTTGTAATTTGAGTAAAAATTACTCGGAAAAAGTAGTTCCGGTAAACTACTGATTACCTAAATTAAAATGTAGTTGAAAGGACTAAACTAATCAGAAAATTAGTTAAACTACAGTAAGTTGAGTAGAGTAGTTGAACGACGTGAAAGTCTGATTATGAGGATTAAAGAGCAATATTTCTTTTAGTCTTGCCTTCGCAAAGCGTGATGATCTAATTGTGGGATTTATTTAAACGAAGAAAGGAATATCGACGTCGAAGACAGTGGCGCTCAAGGTGCGCATGCTACGGTCTAGAATGAAGTGGGAATGGGAGGAAAAGGGTATAGAGGCGTAGAATGTATGAACTGTAATAAAAAACAAAAAGGTAATGAAAGTACAATGGTAGGACCGATAGCGGCAGAAAAACAGAAAATCTTTTTTTTTTGTCATGTATTATTAGGCTTGAATGCAATCTACTTTCGAAAACATCAAGAAATATGTCATAATTTTAACCGTGAGACAAGGAGAAATAAAATAAGGGACAATACGAGATTTGTGTGCTGTCTTGTTCGTTATTTTTAATTTATGAAACATCAGGCTCCTGTCATTTAAAAAAAATCACCGATAAAAGCATCAACCAAAAGAGCTTTTTGTTTGTGTTTTTCCGCAAAAAAAATGCTTTCAAAACAAATAGTGGGTGATATTTTTTTTAGTTGTACTATTAGTGAAACTTTTTGTTTGCCTATCTGGTATGAGGAGTAAGAGGCTTCGTCACGGCGAAGTTTTTTCCCTGCCCCTCTCGGCCGTCGGTGCTCTGAAAATGTGATTTAATCTGAAACGAACCAGGTTTTTGTGTCGCCAGAGAAGCGTGAAAAGTTCAGAGATCCTGCCAAGTTAAACTAAAAGACCACGTAGAAGTTACACAGATATATCGATTGATATAAGTTTAGACGCGTCACAAATCTGTGTAGCGAATTCTAAAAAAAAAAGAAAAAAACACGTGGGCAGCGGATTTGTCACGTTCGTTGATTACATGTTCAGTCCTTTGCACTTATGTCCAAGCTGGTGCATGTTGTTTGACTGCTTTATGCTCAAGCAGTATTTTTAATGAAAAAATATTCAATAAAACAAAGGGCTCTTTCTTACGTGAATCCGGAGCACACCCTGGATTTCTTAAGCATGCCGAAAGAAAAACTTTATAAGAGTATGAAATGTCTTAATCCAATAAACGCATATGATCATATAAGGTCAAAATGTTTTATACGTATACGATTTTTCATTAAGGGAGCAGTGCATAATATACGAGCATATAATCGTAATATTTTTAAGAGTAATTAACTAAAATCTGTTATTTAGCTTTTTAATTATTGACATTACAGGCCACGTCGCACATGCAGTTTTGGAGGACACCCCCTTGGAAGGAGAAGTCAATTGACGGAAGTTAAAAAGCGGTCATCGCCTTGGAGGTATTGGCCGACAAAATGTTTCTCTGTCTCGGCTACTATCTGACAGTTGTGTTCTGTGAGATCACATCTTTCATTTTGTAGCCAACGGAGTGCAAGCTTTGGCGGCGAATATCTCGAAGTCGGTGGCTTCTGTTTACTTTTCGTAAACTGATCTACCTTCCAGGGTAGTTTTTCTTCAAAATTGCTCCTGAAACGTGGCCCTTTATGGCCAGTAATTAAAAAAAAATAACCCGCAAAAAATGACGCCTACGTACTCGTAGCATCTCCGTCATAAATTTATCGCTGATAATTGAAATTAAATATATCTACAAAATTATAGCCGATAATACACCAATTTTGTTTCACCGCTAAATTTGGCAGGAAAATCGATGTCACGTGACCTATACATCAACACAGTTCTCTGGGGAAATTTTGCGGGGAAATTGATCGTGTAACCTAACGTCACGTGAACTTAAATAAGTTTTCCCGGTAAATTTGCGAGGAAATTGATGTCACGTAACCTGACATCCCGTAAACTATACACCAACTTAGTTTCCCCGCTACATTTAGCGGGAAAGTTAAAAATTCAAAGTCCTGCATTGCATTTTATGCATTTTAGGATTTTGTAGCCTTCTCTTAGTTACTTTCTTTTTCCTAGACTTCTCCGCCTTAATTCGGTTTCTCGCCTGTAGAATTCCTCTATGTACTTTGGTAGTTCAAAAACTATGGTTGTGTTATCTTTGTACTACATTTTTATTCTTTCTTTACTCTTGACCCGCACTAACACGCTCTTCGTCCATCAATAGTTATAATAACTACTATAGATAATGATCATAAAACGTGAATATTGGGCTTTAATTTCAGCTAAGCACAATAACTTTCTCATAAGCTCGCAGAACACTGGGGACTGTATCCAAGCCGGAAAATGCATTGTTCGTAGATAAAGGCAACGCATTGTCCCCCTTTCAAAAAAAGAAAGCAAGGAACAACAAACTGTTAAAGTATTTTTTTTTGTATCGTGATGGTGTTGATTTAAGTATAATACAAAATTAGCAAAGAAACGAATATAAGGTGTAGTGTCTTTCGAAATATCTTTGGTAACGTCTGACGCACAAAGGGATTGTCCATAGTCACCGTGAGGGTAATGAACGAATGTTTTTCTGACAGTTTCTCAGCCAGCTATTGAAATGACATTTTGAAACTTGTGACAAACTTGGATAACAATGGTCGTTCACAGCATTGGCGGTAAGTGGACAAAATAAAACAACATTAAAATGATCCCTCTCCGCTCCAGGGAAGTGGTATATAAACCCATGCCAAGCTAAGTAACGATCGACACCGTCAGCGTCTGTTGTTCAAGATGAAGGCAACCATTGCAGTCACCTGCTTCTTCTCTGCAATCGTGCTCATATCTGCAATCAGTAGTGAGTCTATTTTCCTTATAGGACCATTCTGTGTTTCAAACGCAGTCGAGCCTATTGTACCCTGAAGATATTCAACCCTGTTGCTAAAGAATCGTAATGAATTAATCTGTTCCTATCTTCCACGTTAAGATAACAAACTACTTTCTTTTCGTTTTAAGATAATTGTTGACTTGAGTCTAAGCAGCATACATCTCGCGACCCGTTTGGAGTGAATATTTTTCTACAGGGAGTATCTTGATGCGACTCACAGTATCGCGTAGTGTAATATAACACACAGGAACTTTGATAGAACTCTGATGTACACTAACCGATCCTTCGGTATGATATATCTTCAGTACTTAACACAGAGAATTCATGCATGCTCCCTCTATTTTTTTTATAAAAGTTTTACGTATCGATTAGGTTTGTCCGAGAGGTGAACGACGCTGAAACTGCTAATGCGCTGTTAACGCGCAACAGATTTTGTTTAGTAAAGGTATTTTAGTACTCAGCACATGTTCCAGTTATTTTACTCAAAAACAACACAATGTAATGAGAACCATTATAAAGCTTGAGTGTCACGTAATGGCAACAAAGAAATGTATTTTTCTTCAGGCAATATCACTGAACTCTGACTGGCTCGCCAACAAATAGTTTTTCTTGTGTTCGTAATCAGCACCAACAGCAGTGTTGCTTTAATGATTGTCTAGGTAAACTTGACCAGTAATGCATCGCAACGCCAAAAAAGGTACCGTGAGCCCTCGAACATTTTTGCTATTGGCCCCTTTCGAGAGTCGCGTGCCGATGATTAGAAGCACGGAACCACTGTACAATTGCGGAACAACTGGCATCGTGGAGCGTGGAAGTAACCCCATATGATAGCGAACATCGGCGCGCGGCCGAAGCTAGCAGCCGACGAAGCAGTCAAACAGCGTCGAAAGTGCCGTGTCGCTGCGCTCATCAGCTTTCTCTGTGGGTGCGTTTTTGCCTTCTAATTCAACCCGATTCAAACAGTACAGTGACGTTGCTGTTTTAGAACGCCATTGTACACGGATTCCACAGCTGCCAACAGAGGGCAGTTTTTCGTAAAGGGTCAATTCAAAAACAAAAATCAAAGGTGGAATGCGTTTCATTTATGGTCTAATATATAAAAAAAATAAGATTCTGATTCTTTTCATTGCGAGTTCATGTTTGATTTTGCATAACAACATATATTTTATCGTCTGACAGATAATGTAATGGCTGATTGATAGTGGTTAGACAAAACAAAATACAACAGCTAAAAAATGAAGAAAAGAAGGCGACAAACCGGACAGGACAGAGGCCTGATACGCAACTGTATTTTTTACTGATAGACAAGGTTAAATAAACACACGCATTGTTCCACGCGTTCACACGCACCTCTTCGGCCCATGACTTTCACTCATAACGGCACACGTTCGACCTTCATTGTCAGTTCTGAGAATTCCAGCTCGTTACCATACTTCGTTTCAGCTCCGGTCCGAGCGCGGCCGATGTTATGAGCCGAAGGGCCAATCAAACAGCGAAAGAGGCACACCGTTATGGCATGCTCCCTGCAGTCGATAGGACCAGCCGATATTCGCCGTCTCTCTGTGCGTGCTCCTCCGCCAGCTAGTCTTATCAAGCACAGAGAGCACGCCATGACGCTGCGCTTTTTGCGGTGTTTGATTTGCCCTCCGGCTCATAACATTGGCCGCGCTCCGACCGAAGCTGAAACGAAGTATAGACAACGGTATACTAACGCTTCCCTAATGCAGCTTCCTTCGCAACTGTAGATGTAAAGTGCTTCAAGCACCTCGCGCGTACTTTTTTTTTTTTTTTTTTGCGCCTTTCCGAAAATTTGTTGGTATTAAAAGACGGTTCGCACAGGTACTCTTTACCGTGAACTAAGAGGTGTCCTTTTAATATGGCTCCGAGAGTTGTGCAAACGGGACGCGGCCTGAACGGTAGGCCGCGCGAGCACAGGTACTTTTTTGGTGTCATTGCGGGAGGACATTCTTCAATTCGTTGTAAAAGGTGCCTCTGCGTACATCCTTTAATACCGCCACCATTTTTGTAAAGCACAGGAAAAAAGTGACACATGAGGTGCTTCAGCCATTCTACATCCAACAACGTTTCTACCGAAGAGGGAAGCAAGAGCGCTCAACCGATGCGATGGATAGTGCGTGTATGTTATCACACCAAAACGTTCCAACCTTTTTTTGCTACACAAGGACGATTAACATAAAGAATGTATTTCTTCAAGGTGTTTCTCTAGAGGTAAGCTGGATTCCCGCGTTTACAAGTCTAAGATGCTGGTTCTTGTAGAATGCGATTTAAGCAGCTTTGGTAACGCGTCAACAATCAAGAAAAACGGCAAGCCTCTAACGTTAAGCACGCTAAGAAGGTCGTTCCGTGCTAGGAAGAGAACGTTCATTCCATTGCTTTGAGGTTAGGCAGACATACAGGTCCTTTAACTAAAGACTCAAAGAGCAACATTCCGAAATTTGGCCGGTCGACAGGTGATTATTTTTACACCATTGTTGTTCATGCTCGCACTTGCACAGACTGCGTTCCTCGTTTCAAGAACACAAACGTTTTGGGAGGGCATCATAACAGACTTGGCAGGGAAATCATCGATTCATTCACCATAAACACTCTTGACAATAACGCGTCCGCGCCTGCTCTTGTTCTTTACAAAGAGGAGATAACCTACTTGGCTCCGGAATTAGAGTAGATTATAACCTTCCCCACCCATCCAAACTTTGTGCTGCTCATGCTGCCACTTCACATGTTACCTTATTTCGTTTTTCTACAATTTTACCTTTACACTTTCCTTTGTCCCTTTCTTCCTCCCTTTTTCTCTCTTTCTTTGACTGTCCTAATTGCATTGAGGGCTTTTAAGCTCACTCATGTTGCTGCAAGTTGATTGAAATTTTTGTCATCCATCGTCCTGACTTTGTTTCATTCTTTCTGTGATCAGTCGATTTTACCAACACGCTATTCGGTATTTAGTTAATTTGTACGCCAACAGTGACACAAGAAACTCAATTAGGGGAGCGTCAGGGGCGTTTTATTTCAAGGATCTAAATTTCCCAACACTGACGATTTAGGTCCTGCGTGTGCCGTAACGGCTAAGAGTCATGGGCAGAGGAAGTGCGTGCGAACGCGGGGAGCAAAGTGTGTTTTCTTTCTCCTAATCTATTAGTAAATATACAGAGTTGCCAGTCAGCGCTCTGCCCCAACCGGTTTGTCGTTTTCTCATGTAAATTTTTGCGCTGTTTTATTTCATTAGGTCTGAAGATAATGCCTGGCAGTGAGACGTATTTTAACTATAGCCTACGGACTCTCGCTATCAGTTATCTTTTTAGAGCGCAGCTCTTAGGCGCCCGTTTCCGGCTTGAGCGGCGTCGGCGTCGCCGTCGGCGTCGGCGTAACTGCGCGGTGCATTATGGGAAATGTCCCATAATGCACCGCGCGAGCCCCCCACCGGGGTCACGTGACCACGTGGGGGGGCACGTGACCCCCCCCCCCCCCCGAAGTCACGTGACTCCCCTGAGGTCACGTGACCCCCTCCTCGAGGTCACGTGACCCCCGCCGATGTCGCGTGACCCCCCGATGACGTCATCGTCACTGATGACGTCACCGGCATCCACATCGTCATCATCACTGATGACGTCATTAGTGACGTCACTGATGACGTCACCGGCATCCACATCATCATCGTCATCGTCGCTGATGACGTCACCGGCATCCGCATCGTCATCGTCATCATCACTGATGACATCAGTGACGTCACTGATGACGTTACCGACATCCGCATCGTCATCGTCATCATCACTGGTGAAGTCATCGGTGACGTCACTAATGACGTCATCGGTATCCGCATCGTCATCGTCACTGATGACCTCATCAGTGACGTCAGTGATGACATCATCGGCATTGGGGGTCACGTGACCTTGGGGTCACGTGACCCCCCAAAGTCACGTGACCCCCCCCCTGGTCAGTTGAACCCCCCCAGTACCCTTCCCTCCTCCTCCTCAAGAGCTGCGCTCTAATTCGGCGTTACAGGGAGTTGTAAACGGCTTTCACTTTTTTTCATTTTGTGATTTTTGTGATGAAAGAAGATACTTATTGAAATGGTCGTGTGACATTATGCTTGTTGATTAGACGAGACGACTAAGTGGGACTTTGTACAGCGGAAGCTATAAATGTTTGTGATAATGCAATAGTAGCAAATTCGCGAACCTGTCATATTATGCATAAATTCTACAGGAGAAGACTGTGAAGCACAACGTCCTTTCACATCTTGCGCTCCTGAAGTTACTCCAAAAGTTACGTATTACTACAACAACCGTACTAGCCAATGCGAACAAGATTTTGGCTGTGGAGGGGGCAAAAACGATTTCCCAAGCCTCGAGAAATGCAAATTAAACTGTCCGTACGGTGAGTTGTGTGTTTATTTGAATTTGTATTCTGCAAATCCGTGTCCCTATAGGAATGACCCAATAAACTCACGCCTTATATAAAGCATTCCGAGAAAGTGGTGTGCAGTCAATGAGTGTAAAAAAAAAGGTCCGCGAGTTGTGATGTGCCGTTTGAACGTCATTGATATCGTATTTTCCAGGCTATAGTTCGCACCCGGTGTATAGCCCGCAGGGGCCAATTTAGGCTGAAAACAAAAGTTTTGAATGAATAGTCCGCAACCGGTGCATAGTCCGCACCTGGTGCTCTGTCGAGAGGAAAATCTTCTCATACACGGCACACCTTGACAGATGTCCGCTTTCTTAGCTCACAAAAAAGCCTTGTATTATACATTAATCATCACTTAAACACTCTTTCATTCACAAATTCCGTCGGGTCTCGTCACAATGAACGATCTAGATCTAAAGACAAAGTTCATGTATAGTCCGTACATATAGATAGTACGCACACCCAGTAATTTCAAATTCTAAGCATAGTCCCGCGGACAATAGCCCGGAAAATACGGCAGATTGTTCGTTTTTTTTTTTTTAATTATGAAAATGGCAGTGCAGCTATTGCATTTATTCCAATGTAAAGTTAATTATCTATGCTTGGGGAGCCGGCGTTTCGAGGCAGGTGAGTCAATGAGGAGGTGTTTGGTCTTTGTCTTCTACAGTGGTCAGCAGTCCAAAACGGAATACACCACCGTAGAAAACAAATCCAAACTGCACCTAAACGAAGCAGTTTTCTTATTGTCGCACACCAGCTGTTTTGTCACTTTCTCTCCTTCGGCATGCTGACTTTACCTTTACCCGTCCCCACGGTGCCCGTCCCCCATCCGCACGAGCAGAACGCACCACATTCGTCAAACAAACGAAATTAGGAAACCACGGTCAGCTCGTATACGGAACCGTCAAGGAAAATTAACAACAAAAATAACGGTGTTGCGAACAGTTGCGAACGCCTCACGCAGTCGCAATTACGATAGGTAAAGCCCCTCTATAGGGAGTATTCACTGGCGGCCATAGCTGTGTGCGCGAATGCTGAGCACGTGCTGATGGCGAGCTTCCACAGTTATTCCGCAACGTGCGTTCCGCACCATCAACAGTGCCGGTCTTAGCAGCCTATTGATGTGAGCTCGTTCTGAACATGCGCTCTAAACTAGCACTCACAAACATGGCGTCCAGTGAATAGAAAGTATTCACTTGCCTCCCCCTACCCTTCCCATAATCCCCTTCCACCGTCACTATTGGATGACTTTATCAAGAAATCGTGATGTATCCCATTCCTTTTATAAATATGTTTCCTCACTCACTCACTCCCTGAAGAGGCAAGACCAGCTACGTACGAAGACTGGACCCGCCCCAGGCTCGAGCACCCGCACCGCAAACACATTCTCGATTCCCTGATTAGTTTCGTCCGCTCATCGGGGATCGCCTGTTACATTTAGCCTCCTCCCCCTACCCTTCCCATAATCCCCTTCCCCCGTGACGATTGGATGACTTTATCGAGAAATCGTGATGTATCCCATTCCTTTAATAAATACGTTTTCTCACTCACGCCATATTTGCAGGTGCTGTTTAGAGCGCATGCTTAGAACGAGCTCACATCAATAAGCTCCTAAGACCGGCACTCTCGATGGTGCAGAATGCACGTTGCAAAAGGGCTGTGGAAGCTCGCCGTCAGCTCGCGCTCAGAATTCGAACACACAGATATGGCCTCCAGTGAATTCGTGGGAAAAGTGGTGCCATTCATTGGTTGGGGGAATGCTCGAGACGCGTGCCGCGCGCCACTTCTGAGAATAACATGGCGTTCAAAATCAAGCTCAGTGCTACTGAGTGCTGCTCTGTACCGCCATCATCATTCCAAGGGCTGCACGTTTCACGTGACTCGTTCATCGACGCACCTTGCGCTACTTTTAAAACCTGAAGGGGCTTTAGCGATAGGCGGACTGGAGCGCTACCGGAAGCTCTCTGCGTGCGCCGGCTCGAGCTCCCATTGTCGAATCGCACCGGTATTCTAGTATACTGTAATATAATTTGGTCGCTGCTTCCGTAATAGACGTTTTCCGAAATTCAATCTGGACACCTTGATTACTATCATCATCTGTGGAACGGCATCTGTGCCATACCAATGGCGGCCGTCTAGTGACTGATATAGGAAGACGTTGAAGATGCTCCTAAGTGGATGATGCGAGGCCTGTACATTCGGGGGGTCAGTACGACGCGACGTAGGATTAGAACACAAGAGCTACGTAAGCGTTTATTTCTAATAACTCAGATTCAGTCAACATGCGGACGGCACACAATCGGCTTTAAAGCACTTTGGTGTACAGAATTTTCTCGAGGCATCTCAATGGATTGGAGCTTTGTTCTAAATGCTGGTTCTTGATCGCCATCGAACTGAAAGTGATCGAGAAAGAACTCACACTGAACAATTTCTGGCGTGCTGCTGACTTGCAAAAGTGACGGTGCTGATACAAGTTCATTTCCGCCATTGATATGGCAAAACCTAAACTGCTTTACGAACCTCCAGATGGCACTGAATTTCGGAAACGGTCTGCTCTCTTAGAAATCCATGTATAAGTTACATATTCAAGAATAAGTGGTGATTTATATTGACGTCTACTTTTGTGTGCTTGCAGGAAAATACGCATTGCCAGCCTGATCTCCCAGATGCAGGTAAGTTTGTAAAATTAACCAGCGTCTTACAGAAACCTGAAACACTTAGCCCACGCAAGCAAACATGTCATGCAATGTTTCCTTTTTCATTATCGCTTCATATCAAAACAGAAAGGCAGCTCATGTTTTCAGCTAGTTATTTTTGGTGATGTTTACACAGACAGATACCGAACTACAATTGCATTTGAAGGCTTTATTTTCTAATGAACCCGCTTCAAACTTGCGCACCATCAGGTAGTTGCTGCGCCGGTCATCCTTTTTTGTATTGTTTGGGAACTACTCTGTGCACGTATTGGACACTATGACTGTGTAAGCGTTGAGGGTGGATTCGGCTCAGCTCGTATCGAAAACGAGCGCTGCGTCAGCATTCGGCGAAAACTCGGATCTAATCACACGCTTTGTGTCTGAGCAATGGCAACCATCATTGTTGCTTGATATGGACTTTTGAAGAGGGTCTATTATAAGGAGATTCCATTTGGACCAAACATATATACTTATATGGCACAGTGTATAACATGCATTATGCAAAATGATGGCTACGCATAACAGTAAGACGCCCTGAGAGTAAAATACCTGGCTAGCTGTGATTCAAATATTGAATTCCTGTCGTGTCTCAAACCTCTCCCAAACATTCGTGACTGCGAGTTCATAGAACATAGTCACTAATGCACCAGCCCAACGGTGCCGCTTACACGTTTGAAACTTTAGGTTCATAGAAACCTCCGCACTAGCTCCGAGTCGCACTAAAGTAAGTACTTAGCCTTGCACTAAGTATACTGAGCATACTGATCAGGAAAGACCGACCGTGGGTTGCCTACGCCTTGTTGCCTACGTGTTGCGTTCTAACGCGGGTGGTTTATAGTACTTCAAGAGTACCATGAAGCACACCGAAAAAATACTAGGCTCTGTATTAACGCAGTTATCTTTGCAATAATTTTGTTATTACTTCGTACGCGTTTTATTTGGCCACATCCTTTGGGTCGGTGAACAAGTGCATTGTAAATACCGCGAATCAAACGCAGTGCAGACATACTTCGCAGAAATGCAGACGTTAGGATTTCACGTCTACACCATCTGTGATGTTTTCGAGTAAATGATTGCGAGTTGGTCGAGCACGTTTCATGGTCAAGTTGGCTCGAGTTTTAATGATTGTTTAACTTTCAGGGAGACGGCAAGCGCCCACATGTGGAGAAGATGTCTGCAATCTGGCTTGAAGACGTAATTCCCACAAGGCGCTTAGGCTAAACGAAGTCATGCAATAAAAAAGAAGAAAAAAAAACGCGTTTTTTTTTTAAATATGACGTTAGATGTGAAAGCGCTTTGAATCACAGGAAGTGTTTTATGGCGCATTTTGCTGTTACAAGAGAACGCCACATGAAGGCTTTAAAATTCTGCGTGACTAACGCAAACCAAAGCCGAATGATACACACGGTGCTATCCCTCATGACACCTTCTTACACTACATTGCCAGCTTTCTCGGACGCGCTGTTTGAGTTCCCGATTCTCACAACCATACCTCGGCATTCTCACTCATAGGTGCGACCATTCACTATCACTCACGCTCACCGTCAGATTTGAGGTGACCGTGAGTGAGGCACCGAGTTTCGAAAAATCGTGAGTGTGAGTGTGATCGTAAGTGCTGAGAACTCATAAATGTGAGTCTGAGTGTGAGACATTGAAACTCATGAGCGCGAGCGGGATCGGGAGTGTGATCGTGAGCTTTGAGAACTCATGAGCGTGAGTGCGAGTGCGAGTCCTGCGAATTCATGAGCGTGAGTTTGATCCCGAGTGTGGTCGTGAGTTCTGAGAATGAGTGTTAGTTTGAGTCCAGAAAACTCGAGTTTGTGTGTGAGTTCTGAAAACTGATGAGCGTGACTGTGAGCGTGAGTTCTGCGAACTCATGAGTGTGAGTGTGAGCTTGAGCTCTAAGTGAAGTACTTATGAGCGGGAATTTCGAGATCTCTTGAGGGTGACCATCAGTTTCGAGAATCATGAAAATGAGCCTGAATCAAGACGTGAGTCTTACGGTGGATATCAGTCCTGTGATTGCATTCGTCTGCGTGATGACATGAGTCTGAGGACCGGGGCCATGATGAGTCGAGGTGAGGGCTAGTGTTATCTTAGCTGGGTTGGGCACGTGAGCTCCCGGGCCATCATAGTCAGCGAGGATACTCTCGCTTCGCTACTACTGCGCGGGGTTCAGGGTTGGTTTGGGTGTCGCTCGCCTGCTCCTCCGTCATGAAAACGCGCTGGGTCCTCCTGAGCGGAGAAGGGGGGGGGGGGGGGGGGGGGGGAAGGGGCTTGTTGTTGCAGACTCCTCCTTGTCAGCGCCCTCCGCAATGAGCCAACCAGTGTTGCGGATTGGGCACCCCGATTCCATTCCACTTCCATTACGGGGAAATAGGGTTTTCAATAATTCAATTCCTTCCAACTACCAGGACTGGGTGCACTGGGCCCATTCCCACTCCAGGAATGGCTGCATCGTTCTATTCCATTCTTCCAATTCCTTAACGTAAAAATTGGCACTTGACAGCTACATTGTGTTTCCTGCATAAGCAACATAAAGCTGACATTATCAAACACATACAAAATTGCAAAAAAAAAAAAAGAAAGAGCTATCTGTCTCAAAAAGGCACTGATTTTACTAAGCGGAGTGCTGGTGGTACAAAGTGTTTGCTTACATTGTACTGCAAACATCGAGAAAGACCACTTGATATGTCCATGCTTGCTTAAGAGATTGGTCTCGCGACCACGTGGCTCGCAACAAACAGCAATACTTAAATCCACTGAATTTTTTTTTTTTGCAAACCTTTTTGCATTTGATTTTTGGGACATACTTGGCCAGCGCGTTTGTTTGATAAGATAATAAAAATATCCAGTTCGTGCGTGGCGCAGAAATAAGCTATATAGGCGGGCGCTCAAAATTTTCTTCAGCGTGGCAGAAGATTCCCCCTCTTTTCTTTTTTTTCTCCTCCCCTTTCTTCCTCCATTTTCCTCCTCGCCTTTTCCGGCCTTCTCGCACGAGTGCTAATGGGCTTAGCGGTTCCCCGAAAAAATCTCCGTAACCCTTCAAGGTTCTCTGTGTAGCAACCGGCTGTTCGGACGAAGGAACAAGAGGTAGACAAGAGAGAACGAGCTGAGAGGCCGAGCTCAGAACACCGGCAGCTCCCGACCGAGTGGACGTATATATAATTTTGTAAATAAAAATAGGTAGGGAACTTCTTTCCCTACAATTGGTACAATTCGTGGTCCGAATACGCGAGCACCCTAGTAGTCTCATGAGCTCTCGGAATAAAGCGGACTCGAACTGTCTCCCTCGGTCGGTGGTAACCGATGAAGGCACACCAAATCGAGCAATCCAACCTTCCACGAATGTCCGTGCCGTGGTTTCGGCGGTGATGTTAGGAATGGGAAATGCTTCAGGCCAGCGCGTGAAGCGATCAATGCATGTCAGTATATATGTGTTTCCACCACATTTTGGAAGAGGACCCACAATGTCTAGGTGTACGGCATCGAAGCGCGCGGTCGGTGTTGGAAAAGCATCGTATGGTGCTGACGTATGACGTTGAGTTTTAGACCGCTGGCAGGCCAGACAAGAGCGAGTCCAGTTTCGTACGTCCTTGTTGACACCCGGCCATACAAAGTGTTCAGTGATTAACCGCTGAGTTGCTCGAACTCCAGGGTGTGCCATGGAGTGTGGGGAGTCAAAAACTTGACGACGGAAATGCAGCCGTACTAAAGGTCGGGGTGCGCCTGTGGTGTGGTCGCAGATGAGTGGTGTACCACACATTGGCAAGACTACCTCGCGCAAATTCAGGCTGCAGTGCGATGAACGAACTTGTTGAAGCTCGGTGTCATCTCGCTGAGCTGAGGCCATGGCTTCAAAATCAATTGTCATGGGTACCATGCTGCAGCAGGGAGTGACGATAACCCACGAGAGCGCATCAGCTGCCAGGTTGTCTTTGCCTTTGACATGGCGGATGTCTGTCGTGAATTCTGATATGTATGACATTTGACGGATCTCACGGGGAGTAAATTTATCGCTCCCTGATTTCAGTGCGTATGTTAAGGGTTTGTGGTCGGTGAAAACGACGAAATGACGACCCTCTAGGAAATGCCGGAAGTGTTTGATGGCTTGATGAATCGCAAGGAGCTCCCTACCGAATGTACTATAGCGTGACTCTGTTGCGCTGAGTTTTTGGGAGTAGAACGCGATGGGCTGCCAGTTCTTGTCGGAGAGCTGCTGCAGGACAGCGCCAATAGCAATATTGGAGGCGTCGACCATGACACACACGGGAAGCTCTTGGCAGGGGTGAACGAGTAGGGTAGCGTTAGCGAGATCTCCTTTTATGCGGCTGAAAGCTTGGAAAGCCGAGTCGCTCCAATTTAACGGTGTTGAGTCCTTGTGTTCGCCTTTGAGCATATTAGTGAGCGGCAGGAGTGTTGAAGCGCAGTTGGGAATAAAACGCCGATAGAAATTTATCAAACCCAGGAACTCTCTGAGTTTATGAATGGTTGTTGGTTGTAGAAAAACCTTAATGGCTGCGACTTTTTCGGGAAGTGGACGGACCCCTGTGTGATCCACTTGATGGCCTAAGAAATTCAACGTCGTGACTCCAAACTCGCATTTTTCCTTGTTGATTATGAGGCCGTGCTCATCAAGGCGCTGAAAAAGCAGTCGAAGATGCTGAATGTGTTCTTCATCGTCATGGCTGTAGATTAGCAGGTCGACAACGTAGGCATAGACGAAGGGAAGTCCTCGGATGACATGGTCGACGAAGCGCTGAAATGTTTGAGCTGCATTTCGTAACCCAAAAGGCATGCGAAGATATTCAAATAAACCGAAAGGTGTGATGATGGCCGTCGGACGTCACTCGGCTCAACTGGGATCTGGTGGTACGCCTTTACTAGGTCTATTTTAGAGAAAACCTTTGAGCTATACAGGGAAGTTGTGAAATCCGCGATGTATGGCAGCGGGTACCTGTC